CCTACAGGATGAACAAGAGAACTGTGTTTATCAACCTCTACTCCGTGAGTTTACACCGACACCGAGAGTTTACACCGACACCGAGAGTTTACACCGACACCGAGAGTTTACACCGACACCAAGAGTTTACACTGAACACCGAGAGTTTACACCGACACCGAGAGTTTACACCGAACACCGAGAGTTTACACCGTTTACACCGACACCGAGAGTTTACACCGAGAGTTTACACCGAACACCGAGAGTTTACACCGACACCGAGAGTTTACACCGAGAGTTTACACTGACACCCAACACTGAGAGTTTACACCGACACCGAGAGTTTACACCGAACACCGAGAGTTTACACCGACACCGAGAGTTTACACCGACACCGACACCGAGAGTTTACACTGAACACCGAGAGTTTACACCGACACCGAGAGTTTACACTGAACACCGAGAGTTTACACCGACACCGAGAGTTTACACCGACACCGAGAGTTTACACCGACACCGAGAGTTTACACTGAACACCGTGAGTTTACACTGTGAATTCACATCAAACATTGAGAGTTTACACCAACACCGTGAGTTTACACCAAATTCTACACCGTGAGTTTACAGGTACAGACAGGAGCAGCCAGGTGCAGACAGGAACAGACAGGTGCAGACAGGTGCAGAGGAGTGATCATATGGTCCATGTTGTTCTCCAGGTGCCCTCAGAACGGTTCATCTGTGTCGGGTTCCGGATCAGAACGGCGTTTGTTGTGGGCGGAGCCAGTGACACTCTCTTCACTGTGTACGAGGAGCAGGACCAAGGTAAAAACCGGGACTGAGGTAAAAACCAGGACCAAAGTAAAACCTGAGACTGAGGTAAAAATTGGGACCGAGGTAAAAACCAGGACTGAGGACAAAGCTCACAGCGGGACCAGCGCCCTCTGCTGGCAAATATTAAAATCGCTTAGTGTTTTCCTCTTATTGACTCTTCACATTTTATGTTTTTCTTATTAAAATCTCATGAAAATGGATTTGGATTCAAATGTTTGAGCTGATTGTCTTGGATCGGCTGTTGTCCTCGAATCTGTGACCGTTACAAATGTCTGGATTAAGAAACAAAACAAAAAGAAAACTTTATTGTCCAGTTGTAGTAGACTGAGACTCCCTGAAGTTTGACCTACAGACGTCGTGTTGTTGTGTTTTGCAGCGACCAAATGCACTAAACTGGTGTCTGACCAGGAGCAGAAGATCCACAGACTCTGTCAGTTTGACCAGTGCCAGTGCGTCACCGGTGAGTCTGACCTCTGACCTCTGACCTCTGACTTCCTGCAGAAAAACTACAGGAGGTCACGTGTTTAAGACTTTTTTAAGACTCGTGTTAAGAATGAGACGTCAGAACGTATGTGTGTGTGTGTTTGTGTTTGTGTGTGTGTGTGTGTGTGTCTGTGTGTGTGTGTGTTTTTCAGCGGTCTGCTCGAGCTTCAGAGGGACTGTGGACTCGTCCGTCACTGAGGCGAAACTCAACCAGGAAATCTGCAACTCGAAGGTCAAATACGGTACTGCACAGATTACACAAACACACACAAACACACACACACAAACAAACACACACAAACATACACACAACAAACACACACACACACACACAACATACACACAAACACACACACACAAACACACAGATGTAGCACACAGTACAGGAGGTCCTCACAAAACACACACAAGAACAAGTCACACAATCACACACACACAGACACACACACACACTGCCGTGCTCATGTGTGCACACACAACAGAGGCATGAGGACGACATCAGTTGAAATAAACACAAAGACCAGGGCTGGTGTCATTCAGACGTTGTTGATATGATACAAACCTCGATACACAGGCCACGATACGATATGTTTTAATACAGGGAACTTTCGATTCAATGTGATTCGATACGATATATATCAAATTGATTCAATATGGTGAAATTGAAATTGAAAAAAGGGTAAATCATCGCTGTGGTACTAAGGCCCCGTTCACACTAGTGTGTATGTGAGTGTGTGTTCGTTCACACTAATCTGATGGAAAACGGCTCCAGAGACGGACGATCTGGAGCCTCCAGGTCCCATGAATTCATGTTCGTACAGATCTGATCCAGCACCGTGTGGACGCCTTAAAACAGCGTCCACACAGAGCCTTTTATCAGTGTAAACTGTGACTGTAGCCACAGCTGCCCTGGGTCAGACAGACAGAGATGTGGTTGTACCACATCAAGCAAGATTTTTGTGAGGAAGGAATTAATCTCCTGCCCCAAATTGCCGACTGGGGCAGGAGATTAATTCCTTCCTCACAAAAATCTTGCTCAGCAAAACTGAGCAAATCTGGTCCTCAAATTCTTTTAACCAGTCTGAGTATAATTTACAGTTTTTATACGATGCTCTGGTGACTCCTGTCGTCTCATTCTCTGACTTTCCTCGACCCTTCGTCATGACTTTCCTCTGACATCACAGCAGCTACGATCACATCACTGCTCCCTCCAAATCACCAAACTCAAGTCATTTTACTAAAACTCCTCAAAACTGCTTCAGTTTTCTGCCTGTTGTGTTGCTCTGTCTTTCTTTTTTACGTCACTTCGAAATCAGGATTTCACAGCAATGTCTGCTCCTGCACTTTTTCAGTAAAGCTGAGGCTGATCAGACGCAGCAGAGAATCGAGTCTATCCACTCCGAGTCACACGACCAGACTGGTGTGGGCAGGACTGACCTGAAGTCAAACTGCTCCTGTCGCTGTAAACATCAGACTCTCTGTGTGTCGCTGCATCAGATCTTGGTTAAATTAAAAAAAAAAAAAAAAAACTGAAAATGGGAGTTTGAGCAGCTCCTCGGCAGCAGTAGAACCACCGCTGGGCGACTTTCTATACAGACTCAGCGTTTATTTGGAATCAGCTTTTATTTATCAAAACATGCACCTGCATCCGGACTTTAAAGGTTGTATAGAAGATTTTTTAAGGGAAGAGAAATACAGCGACCGTCCTTTTTCAGTTTTTTTAGATGTTTCTCCCTCAGTAGAAACAGCTCCTCCCGCCGCTTTACTCTAGAGTCACACTTGTTTACATCCGTACGTGTTCAGAATCACTGTTGAAGTTTCCTGTCTAGAAATATTTTATCGACCGACGCGTCAGTTTTTAGACCCTTCGTCTGTTTCAGTCGCGCCGTTGCTGGAAGGAATCTCCAAGAATCACCTTAGTTTGTACTTTTCCTCTTCTCTTCTTCTTTCAGCGACCCCAAAAACCGACTTTCTTTTGCGGTGAACTGGTCGTGGATTCTCGTCCGCCGTCGCGACAAACTTTGTGCAAATTGTGAGGAAGCGACAGTTTGAAAAAGCCTCTAAGAACCGCTGCTTAAACCACATAATCCCGTCAGTTACAATAGAAACCTAGGGAGTTTGATTGACAACCTAACAGCCAATAGAAAAAGAGGGAGCCTTGTTTTCTATTGGCTGAAGTTTATCTGGCCTCAACACGTCCACAGTTGATGGATTTTCATTCTTTTTTTTTTTTTGGTCATCATAATTCCAAAGCTGCTGCGTCTCTGTAATGGTATTTTAAACTTTCACTGACAATTTGAAAAAAAAAAAAAAATCCTCCATACAACCTTTAAAGGAGACCCAGCGGTGCATTGAAACTCGTCTATTATTTGGTATTTTACGGCGTTCAGCCACTACAGGAAAAGTTAAATCTCCTTCTCCCTCTGATGCGTCTGGTGTGTTTACAGCGTACAAAGTGACGGTGACCGACCTGGTGTCAGAGGGAGACTTTTTGACCCACAGAGCCACCGTAGAGGAGGTCATCAAGAGTGAAGGAGGTGAGTGTCCCGGGTCGTACGGCTCTGGTCTGACCTGGCACGTTTCACTCATGTTGTTACTCGTGTTTAAGGAGTTTCTTTAGTCCGTTTCACCCTCAACTCAAATCAGTGGTTTCACTTTGGAGGAACCGAATGTGGCCGAGTCACAAACTGAACCTGAACCTGAACCTGAACCTATGTCTCCAGAATCTTCTACTGCAGACAGAGACACATCCTGGTTTAGTCCCAGTTTAGTCCTTGTTCAGTCCTAGTTTAGCCCTGTTTTAGTCCTGGTTTATTCCTGGTTTGGTCCTGGTTTAGTCCTGGTTTCATCTTGGTTTAGTCCTGGTTTAGTCCTGTTTTAGCCCTGTTTTAGTCCTGGTTTAGTCCTGTTTTAGTCCTGGTTTAGTCCTGGTTTGGTCCTGGTTTAGTCCTGGTTTTCATTGGTTTTAGTCCTGGTTTAGTCCTGTTTTAGCCCTGTTTTAGTCCTGGTTTCGTCCTGTTTTAGTCCTGGTTTATTCCTGGTTTCGTCTTGGTTTAGTCCTGTTTTCATCTTGGTTTAGTCCTGGTTTAGTCTTGGTTTAGTCCTGGTTTCGTCCTGGTTTAGTCCTGTTTTAGCCCTGTTTTAGTCCTGTTTTAGTCCTGGTTTATTCCTGGTTTAGTCCTGGTTTAGTCCTGGTTTAGTCCTGGTTTTGTCCTGGTTTAGTCCTGGTTTAGTCCTGGTTTAGTCCTGGTTTCGTCTTGGTTTAGTCCTGGTTTAGTCCTGGTTTAGTCCTGGTTTAGTCCTGGTTTAGTCCTGGTTTAGTCCTGGTTTAGTCCTGGTTTAGTCCTGGTTTAGTCCTGGTTTAGTCCTGGTTTAGTCCTGGTTTTGTCTTAGTTTAGTCCTGGTTTCGTCCTGGTTTAGTCCTGGTTTCGTCTTAGTTTAGTCCTGGTTTCGTCCTGGTTTAGTCCTGGTTTAGTCCTGGTTTAGTCCTGGTTTTGTCCTGGTTTAGTCCTGGTTTAGTCCTGGTTTAGTCCTGGTTTAGTCCTGGTTTCGTCTTAGTTTAGTCCTGGTTTCGTCCTGGTTTAGTCCTGGTTTAGTCCTGGTTTTAGTCCTGGTTTAGTCCTGGTTTCGTCCTGGTTTTGTCCTGGTTTAGTCCTGGTTTAGTCCTGGTTTAGTCCTGGTTTAGTCCTGGTTTAGTCCTGGTTTTCATCTTGGTTTAGTCCTGGTTTAGTCCTGGTTTAGTCCTTTAGACTCGTCCTGCGTTTGTGTTTTTATTCTCAGTTTGTGTCTCTTCCTCACGTGAAGCTCAGATCCTGCAGTCCTCCTCCGTGAGCTGCAGCGGCTGCACTAGCGCTGACTCATGCTGGTGCAGATTCTGCGGTTGGTCCGGGGTTTTTGTGACTAAGTATAAATTAGCTTGAGAAAAGTTATATTTGATTTGGACAAGTTTTTTCGTTGTGAGTTTATGAAATTTAAAATCAAAATCTTCCATCGTCTTTTTGTCTGTTCTTCAGAATATTTCACACTTATTTACAGTTAAACCTGTGAACCGTGGAGTGTTTTTTCACGTACTTTGCCATTTCCTCTCCCTTGGTGCTTGGTGCTTGGTGCTTGGTGCTTGGTGCTTGGTGCTTGGTGCTTGGTGCTTGGTGCTTCAGACTTCGGCTCGGTGAGTGGAGGGTCTGAGGTGGACTTCATAAAGAAAACCACCTGTAGCTCTGTGGACCTGCAGAAGAACCAGCAGTACCTGATCTCAGGCTCCTCCGGCCTCGAGGTGGTCCACAACCAGAACTACAGGTGAGTCTGGACCAGGACTGGACCAGGACTGGACCAGGACTGGACCAGGACTGGACCAGGACTACCAGGACTAGACCAGGACTAGACCAGGACTAGACCAGGACCAGGACTAGACCAGGACTAAACCAGGACTAGACCAGGACTAGACCAGGACTGAACCAGGACTGGACCAGGACTAGGACCAGGACTAGACCAGGACTAGACCAGGACTGGACCAGGACTGGACCAGGACTGGACCAGGACTAGACCAGGACTGGACCAGGACTAGACCAGGACTAGACCAGGACTAAACCAGGACTAAACCAGGACTAAACCAGGACTGAACCAGGACTAGACCAGGACTGGACCAGGACTAGACCAGGACTAGACCAGGACTGGACCAGGACTAGACCAGGACTAACCAGGACTGGACCAGGACTGGACCAGGACTGGACCAGGACTGGGACCAGGACTACCAGGACTAGACCAGGACTGGACCAGGACTAACCAGGACTAGACCAGGACTAGACCAGGACTAGACCAGGACTAGACCAGGACTGGACCAGGACTAGACCAGGACTCAGGACCAGGACTAGACCAGGACTAGACAGGACTGAACCAGGACTGGACCAGGACTAGACCAGGACTAGACCAGGACTAGACCAGGACTGGACCAGGACTAGACCAGGACTAGACCAGGACTGGACCAGGACTGGACCAGGACTGGACCAGGACTGGACCAGGACTGGACCAGGACTAGACCAGGACTGGACCAGGACTAGACCAGGACTACCAGGACTAGACCAGGACTAGACCAGGACTGGACCAGGACTAGACCAGGACTAACCAGGACTGGACCAGGACTGGACCAGGACTGGACCAGGACTGGACCAGGACTGGACCAGGACTGGACCAGGACTAGACCAGGACTGGACCAGGACTGAACCAGGACTGAACCAGGACTGGACCAGGACTGGACCAGGACTAGACCAGGACTGAACCAGGACTGAACCAGGACTCGACCAGGACTCGACCAGGACTCGACCAGGACTCGACCAGGACTAGACCAGGACTAGACCAGGACTAGACCAGGACTGAACCAGGACTAGACCAGGACTTGACCAGGACTCAACCAGGACTGGACCAGGACTGGACCAGGACTAGACCAGGACTGGACCAGGACTAGACCAGGACTGGACCAGGACTAGACCAGGACTAGACCAGGACTCCACTAGGACTCAACCAGGACTTGACCAGGACTCAACCAGGACTAAAAACCAAGACTCGACCAGGGCTAGACCAGGACTCAACCAGCACTAGACCAGGACTCAACCAGGACTGGACCAGGACTGGACCAGGACTGGACCAGGACTGGACCAGGACTGGACCTGGACTGGGATTCTCCTGCTTTACCGTATCAGTGTCTCAAACTGAAAACACCTCGTTCCACCTTGTGATGTCATCATGTGGTGATACAGGAAGTGCTCCACTGTGTTTTTAAACTCCACACAGCTTCATTTGGATCATTTCAGCCCTGGAATTGCTGATCTTTACTGAACTAAATACAAAATGTGGCTGAAAACGACCTCTTCATGACATCACGAGGTGGAACAGAGCGTTTGGAGCACTTCTGAGTCCGTGTTTCTTCACGTGTGCCTCTGGTCTCCTGCAGGTTCCGTTTCCCTCTGGACTCTGAGGCTCAGGTCCAGGTGTGGCCCTTGGACTGTGGACCAGAGTGTAACGAGCTCGTCAAGTTCAGCGTCCTCACACAGCTCAGCGGATGTTAATGTCTCCTCCTCCTCAGCTCCTCCTCTCCTCTTCTCTTCATCTCCTCCTCCTCCTCATCTCCCTCCTCTCCTCCTCCTCTTCCTCCTCTTCCTCCTCTTCCTCCTCATCTCCTCCTCCTCCTCATCTCCTCATCTCCTCCTCCTCCTCCTCCTCTTCCTCCTCCTCTTCCTCCTCTTCCTCCTCATCTCCTCCTCCTCTTCCTCCTCATCTCCTCCTCTTCCTCTGTCTCCTCTGTTTGTTTCTAAACATCTCCAGTTTACATTGTTTTACATCTTCATTTAATGTCAGAAAAGCCAAAACTTTAAAACTGGACTGAAACTGGACTAAAACTGGACTAAACCAGGTCTAAAAACTGGACTAAAACTGGACTAAAACAGGACTAAACCAGGATTAAAACTGGACTAAAACAGGACTAAAACTAGACTAAAACTGGACTAAACTAGGACTAAAACTGGACTAAAACTAGGACTAAAACTGGACTAAAACAGGACTAAAACAGGATTAAAACTGGACTAAAACAGATCTAAAAACTGGACTAAACTAGGACTAAAACAGGTCTAAAACTGGATTAAAACTGGAATAAAACTAGACTAAAAACTGGACTAAAAACTGGACTAAAACAGGACTAAACTAGGACTAAAACTGGACTAAAACAGGACTAAAATTAGACTAAAACTGGACTAAACTAGGACTAAAACTGGACTAAAACTGGACTAAACTAGGACTAAAACTGGACTAAAACTAGGACTAAACCAGGATAAAAACTGGACTAAACTAGGACTAAAACAGGACTAAAAACTGGACTAAAACAGGATTAAAACTGGACTAAAACTGGGACTAAACCAGGATTAAAACTGGACTAAAACTGGACTAAACTAGGACAAAAACTGAACTCGTCTCAGAGCGACGCAGGTTTTTTACTGAAACAGGAGGAAAAAGGAGGAACTAGAAAATACAACGACTCAAAAACACAAAAAGAAGTTTCATTTGATATTTTCAAATCATATCAGAGTCAGACTTTGTACTTTTACATCACAGCTCCAGGAAAATGTTCTAAACTCTTATTGAAAAGTTTTGTGAATAAATCCAACATTTGAACTTTTTTTGTCTGTTTCTTTATGATAAAATATGATGAGATGAGGATTAAATATTGACAAAACAGTCCAGTTCTCAGGTGGGTTTTGTCTCAGGCTGCAGCGTCTGGAAGAGTCACGATGTCGTTTAAATCTTCAACCAACAAACTCCACAAAGAATAAACTTTCTAACATGAACAATTTATCCAAAACTATCAAGAGAAGAAAGAACAAAACTTAAAGGAAACAACGACGAGACGCATGAGTCACACAACAAACTCAACTCATGTTCTGATCAGTGTTGGGAAGTTATTTTTAAAACATATTCCTCTACAGATTACAGATTACACTCACCAAAATGTAGTTTGTAACAGAATCCATGAAGTTACTCAAAGTGAGTAATGTAATCTGATTACTTTGTTTCTCTACAACAAATTAAGTAATCCAAAGACGAGGAAATCGTAACATAAGAAGTTTTGTCTGATAAAAGAAAATAAAAAGCCCAAACTTTACTGAACCCGAATTAAAAATATTATTGATAGAAGAAGAAGAAACACGTCCACACAGCAGGATTTAGTCCTGTTAAATCCTGTTTGAGACATAGTTTGGACCTGGTTTAGACCTGGTTTAGACCTGGTTTAGACCTAGTTTAGACCTGCTTTAGACCTGGTTTAGACCTAGTTTAGACCTGGTTTTAGACCTGGTTTAGACCTGGTTTAGTCCTAGTTTAGACCTGGTTTTAGACCGGGTTTAGACCGGGTTTATACCTGCTTTAGACCTGGTTTAGACCTGCTTTAGACCTGGTTTAGACCTGGTTTAGACCTGGTTTAGACCTAGTTTAGACCTGGTTTTAGACCTGGTTTAGACCTGGTTTAGTCCTAGTTTAGACCTGGTTTTAGACCGGGTTTAGACCTGGTTTAGACCTGGTTTTAGACCTGGTTTAGACCTGGTTTAGTCCTGGTTTAGTCCTAGTTTAGACCTGGTTTTAGACCGGGTTTAGACCGGGTTTAGACCGGGTTTAGACCGGGTTTAGACCTAGTTTAGACCTGGTTTTAGACCTGGTTTAGACCTGGTTTAGTCCTGGTTTAGTCCTCGTTTAGACCTGGTTTTAGACCTGGTTTAGACCTGGTTTAGTCCTAGTTTAGACCTGGTTTTAGACCGGGTTTTAGACCGGGTTTAGACCGGGTTTAGACCGGGTTTAGACCTAGTTTAGACCTGGTTTTAGACCTGGTTTTAGACCTGGTTTAGTGTCCGGCAATGAGTGGAATTACCGGGGAAAAAAAAACCAAAAAGGGATTTAGTCCAAAATGTGAAACAGGAAAATCCATTTATTTTAACAAAGTAACTGTAATCTAATTACCACTCACTGAAACAGTAACTGTAACTGAATACAGTTACTCATCATTTGTACTCTGATTACGTAACTCCAGTACTTGTAATCTGTTACTCCCCGACACTGTCAGTATCCAGTATCAAACCAATTCAACTCAACAGGATTTAACGACACGAAGCACGACGCACGATTAAGACGAAACTCGGCCCGATCCGAAAAACAGTCGCACGAGGGAAAAATCGGCTCAAAAAGGGTGAAAAATCGCGCAGTGTAAACTCGGTTTAAGAGTCACGAAAATCAAAACGTTCACCTCCTTCGAGCCGGATTCGAACCAGCGACCTAAGGATGTCCGCCATGTTCCTCTACAGTCCTCCGCTCTACCAACTGAGCTATCGAAGGGGCTGCGCACTCACGCCGACGGGACGCGCTCTAAAGCGGCTACAGAGACCAGCGAGGCCCGGGGTCCGGCTCCGGGACACGGATCTGTGCTGCAGGAGAACCGGGACCACGAACACAACTCAGACTGATAAATAATACAAACAAAAACACTTCAGCGGGTTTTAAACGAGTATTCACGTGTAACTTCTCTCCAAATACTAAAGAAATAACACGCAGTTTTACTGGTTTATTTACATTTCTGGATTCAAGCGGTAAAGTCTTAAATCACTGAAGAAAAACATGATTTATTAGTTTGTTCTTCACCCTGAATATTTTCTTGTGATTATAACGGTCTGTGGCGCCATCTGCTGGTAGAAAAGTGAAATGATTTGTGTGAATTTGTTTTTTTTAAACAGAGAAGAGTTTCTTTTATTCTTTAATTTATTTGTTTGTTTGTTATTTCAGCAAACACAATGGCAAGTTTGTGTAATATTTTATCTTTTTTTTTTTTAAATAAACTAAGTTTAAGTCGTGTTTTTTTTCACCACCAGATGGCGCAAGAATCAAACCTGTGGGAATAAAACACGACTCATATTTTAGCTTCATTCACGGATTAAACACGGATTTTTATTTATTTTTTTATGTATTTTTTTTAATTTTATTTATTATTATTATTTTAATTTCATTTATTTTATGTTTCTTTGTTTATGTTTGTTTTAAAGTTAAATTTAACATTTCTTTGTTCTGTATTAACAGATGATAAAAGAAAAGAATTTGGTATCAACAATTTATTGATCTTAGGTAAACATTTTATTCATAAATGTGTGTTGTTGTTGTTTTAGATTAAACCAAACAACACAGACTTAAATAATGACCTGAAACTTTTTGTTCACTCATTAGAAACAAACTGAGAAAAGAGCTGGTTTTCTTTTGTCCTTTTGAAATTATTTAAATTTATTCCTTTATCTTAGAGCTTTGAAATTTTAAATGTGATTTTAATTTTATTCACTGTTTGTTGTATTTTCATGTGAACTGTTAAATTTTTTGAGGTGCTGTTTTTGTTTGTATCTGAAAATCTGCAATAAAAAAAAAGTTTTGAGCAGAAAGTGGCAAATATTTAAGAAATTATTTGGGTTTCTACGTTTTACTTCTTTTTTAACCACCTCTGGAAAAAATTTATTAACAAAAAAAATCAAATAAATGAACACAGAGACACAGAGGTTTTAAACACATTCTTATTTGACCTTTATTACAATTCACTGCAATCATTTCATTAAATATTAACAGAGCAGAAAAAAAAAAGTCCTTTTATCGTCCCCACGCTGAAGTCTCTCGTCTCCGCTGCCCCCTGGAGGCGAGACGACAGAACTGCCTCCGTACAAAACCACTCGTGACGTAGAAAAAGGATTTACACACAGGTTTAGTTGGGCCCTGAGTTTAGACTCTCAGGATCCACGAAAACTCAAAACACTTTTAACACTTGACGTCGCAGGATCTGCCCCGAAGTTTCAGATAAACACGAGACGTTTCAGAGTTTTTAAGTTTCTCAAACAAACTCTGCTGGTTTACGGAGCGATCGTTTTATTTTCCTGCTGTTGTCGCTAAATCTGTTTTAAAGCTTTTCTCTGTGTGTGGAGATGTTATTGGTTTGTTCGGAATGTTCCACAGTACAGCATTAAACAGCTGGGCCCGGTCAAGCAGAAGTAAACATCAAGGCCAAAAACTCAAGTGAATTCATCTGATATAAAAGTGTATTGAACAGATACATATGTACTCGAGTTTATCAAACTGTTGACCTTTTTTCTGGACCATTTTTGGTTCTAAAGTTCCATCTGTTTTAAACAGACCATGAATGAAACATGGAACAAAAATTATTTCCCAAATTTCAAAGACCTGAAAATCATGTAAATAAATGGATTTGTATTTCATCATATCTTGTGTTATTCCATCTTTGAACTGTTGATGAAGGGACATGATTTAAAATAGAAAAAGTATTTAAAATGATAAAAATGTTCTTGGAAGGACTGACATATTTTATAGAAATAGTTTCCTTTCATTTTGAAGTAATATTAAAGTTTTCAGAAGAAAAAAGTGACAAATGATGTAAAATCCTGCACCTTCTACTTGTTTGTACAATTTTCCCTCCGTTACTTTTCCCTCCGTTACCATGAACTTTCTTAATAAAAAATCTCATGAGTCAAAAAGTCAGAGGTTTTTCAACCTAATCTTGTACCATATGGTAGAAAACTATATGAAGCAAATATTCAAACCAGTTTGTTAAGGATATGTAAGTGAGAACCAAGAGTTATCACTGTTTGGATTTATTGACCAAAAAGTGCTGCATATTTCATTCCCTCCGTTACCGACATGAGTTTTTACATTTTTTGTCTTGAACTTGAAAGAATCTCACAGGTTTAACTTGACCCTGTTGGAGTGTAACTCTTTCCTACATTCTGATACTTTACTTATTTCAATAGTTCCTCTAGTTTCTGAATAAGAGACATTTGAATGTCAAAAATCTGACCCTGTTTCCCTCCGTTAACACTTGACCGGACACATTTCTATCTTCACGGAGACCAAACCAGAGCATGTTCCAGGCCAGATCCGTGGAGAGGCGACGCCGCTCACGGTCATAACGACTTGTTTCACATTTTTCTTGTTATTTTTGAGCTTTAAAACCACTTGTAATTGAATAAATGTAAAGTCGAGCTGTTTAAAATCACACTGTGGAACATTCTAAAGACAGAGTGACGAACGTCTCCATGGAAACAAGCAGGTGACGGACGCCTGTCCAATTAGAAAGAGGCATCAGTGTCATTCAAATCCTTAGTTAAATGTACTAATAGTATTTATAGTTGATCAAATCATGCAGTTTTGAGGCAGCGGTCGTCTAATTTTGAGTTGGTTTAATACAATTATTTTTTTTTTTTTCAACTTTCATATTTATTTAAAGGTGCACTGTGTAACTTTTCTGACTGTCGGTTTTGGAATATCCCATAGCGCAGCATTAAACTTAACTAGACGAGGCAAATTTGTACAGTTTTGCACAGTCGGGACCAAAATACTTTTTAAAATTTCTTAAAAACCCAGAGACAAAGTGAAAGTGAAACAGAGTAAATCAAAACACAGAGATCTGAGTCGTCGAGTTTGACTTTAAGATTTGATGAGATTTGTCCCAAGAAATGTCCCAGGTGTTTCTATTTTTGACCAATTTGAATTCTGCTAAAAGTAAAGAGAAACATAAACTGTATTTTGTTTTGGTAAAATACAGAAAATGTGCTTTAAAAATGACCAAAACACAAAGAAAACCCGACTAAACTGACTCACGTTCGTCACAAATGGTTTCTGCAGAACAGTTTTTTTCGTTTCACAATTTTATCATCACCGACCGCCACAAAAACGTGAATGTCTCAGTTTTTTAGTTTGAAATTCTGGTCACTTTAAAACCTTTAAACCCTCCCTGTTTTACTGCACTGGTTTGAAATGAGCGACAGAATCTGTGTGTCATTAGTTTTTCAAAATAAAACCAAAAATAAGAAAATGAAAAAAACTAAAAACAAAAACTTTTTCTTCATTATTTGTCTCCAAAACCAAAATGAAAAAAAAAAACACAAAAACAAATAATGATTCATTTTTTCAGTTTTCAATTTTGTGTTTAAATGAAAAATGGAAAAAACGGATCAAACCAGGACTAAACCAGAGCTAAACCAGGTCTAAACCAGGTCTGAACCAGGTCTGAACAAGAACTAAACCAGGACTAAACCAGGTCCAGGACCAGACCAGGACCAAGACCGTGATTGAGACCGAGACCAGACTGGGACCAGACCAGGACCAGACCGGGGTTGAGACCAGGACTGAGACTGAGACCAGACTAGGACTGAACACGGTTTAGTCCTGGTTTAGTCCTGGTTCAGTTCATTATCCGTTTTTTCCATTTTTCATTTAAACACAAAATCAGAAAAACAAAAATCAAATCATTATCTGTTTTTTCATTTTGGTTTTGGAGACAAATAATGAAGAAAATCGTTGTTTTTTGGTTTTCTTATTTTTGGTTTTATTTTGAAAAACAAATGAACGAACGACACAGATTCTACATTTCCCAGAAGTCTTTGCACCTTCTCTGTGTCATAGTGATTCGATTCAGAGATAAATAAAATATGGTTAAGTCTAAAGTAAAAGTGCGTTCCCTGCAGAGCGGTGGGCGTGGCCTCGGTGGGCGTGGCTTCGGTGGGCGTGGCCTCGTGTCGTGTGACCTCAGGTGACGAGGCGTTCGCGGGTCTGGACACAGTGGGGTTTTTTTTAGCGCTTTAGTTGGACCTGGACTCGTGTGGACGTGAGCGGACGTTTGTGCTCGTCGTCGTCGCTCACAGAAGCTGCCGTTTTCAGTCGGGTTTTTGCATAGAGCTGCAGATCTGCACCGTAAAGACGTTTCACACACTCTCCAGAACCTTCTCACACTCTCCAGAACCTTCTCACACTCTCCAGAACCTTCCGAAGCCTAAAACTCAAACGATTATTATTAGTCCATGAACATTCGGCTGCATCGTTTGGCCCAATGTCAGAAATTCAACTTGTTCCCAATTTTAAAATGTGACAAAACCAAATAAAAGAAAATCTGTGGAATATTTGCTCAACTGAATAAAATCTACTGGGTCCAACAAGTCTCTTAAGTTCCATCCTAACAGTGTCCAAACGGCACTTTTTCTCAAATAAATTTAAAAAATAATCCATTTAGGTCCACGGTGTCAGTGAAAGTTGAATATAAATGTTGCTGTTGTGAATCTTTTGGTACCATTTTTACATCTATCTTCAGAACTTTGTACGATATGACAATTTTTAAAATGAAATTATGCACAAAACTGGTTCAAACTGGTCGACTCTCGCCGGAGTCTGAAGTGGTGGGAGGAGCCAAATTAACACTAAGGGAAGTTGAATTAACACTAAAAGGTGAATTAATACAAGAGGAAGTTAAATTAAAAGTAAGAGAAGTTGAATTCACTCTAAGTAAAGTTGAATTAACATGAAGGGAAGTTAAATTAACACTAGAGGAAGTTGAATTAACTTCAACCATATCAACTCTGGCAAATAACCCCAACTCAAATCCTCATTTAACTTTCTAATAGTTAAAATAACACTTTTTGTATTAAAAACAATTCTGAAATATTTTACTCTGAAATTTTAACCCTCCAGTTTTTGCTGTGTGTATTAAAGATTTTTTGAGTTTGAGCTTTGAGTTCTAAATTTGTTCATTTGAAGTTAAATAAAGTGTTTTAGGTCAGACATTTGTTACACTTCAGGACCTGTTGATTATTCAAGGTCCTTGAAACACTAAAGAAATGACAGTTTTGTCAAATCTCAGAAACTAATGATGATCGAGACAAAAAACTGAACCAAATGATCCACATTGTCCATGTTTATATTTAACTTTCATTGATACTATTGGGTTAAATTCATTATTTTTGATGTTATTAAAGAAAATCAGATGTTTCAGTTCAGATTTAAATCTTCTGCAGAAACTAAACTCCAGAGACTTGGTGGACCCAGTAAACATCAAGAGAATTTCATAAAATTTCTCAAGGAACTTTACTTTGATAAGTGTAAAAAAAATTATTCTAGGTACAGATTGATTTTCAAAAATCTTTCAAAAAGTTGGGCAAATGATTCTCCATAATAAACACCGTCTGATCTGATCTTTATTTATGACAGAATCAAGTTTTATTGGAGTTTATTGGACTTTTTTCTCACTCAGACGCCAGAGTCACGTGACGTGAATCGTTTTGTGAGTGAGCGAGCTGTAGGGGGCGCTGAAGAGTGTGAGTTTATGAAGGGTGAAGAACATTCAGACTCAGCCCTGGGCCGAGTCAAAACAAACACGGCTGCTTACGAGGAAAAACTGAAATGACAAAGGCCACGACTCGTTTCTGTTTCCTCAATTCCTTCTCCTCGAATTTTCATTTTCAATCCCGTCATTTTCAAACCCGTCCCAAACAAAACCACGGAACGAAGGAGCAAACCTGAGGGAGGCTTCAGGAGCAGACGCCAGAGAAAAGAATCAAATCTCAGTCTCAGTGAGGAGTTTAGATCCTCTGTCCTCACTTGGTCTCCTTTGTGGGCGGGATTTCTTCACCTCGAGGAGAAGAATCAAGGAGAAGGAAGCGAGGAAAGAGAACGCAGATAAAGAAATCATAAGGACTGAAGAACATCTGCAGAATCAGTGAGCGAAACACAAAACTCTGTCACGGTAACACAGTTTGAAGTATGATGTATAATACTGAGGAAAATACAGACGATAATATTGAAATTAAAGTATTTCACTGGTACAAAGACAAAATCCTCACAATACAAACCGTCTCTGTTCACGGCAAACGTTTGGAAACATGTGGACTTCTTTTGGGTTCTGTTGGCGACAGTAACTCTGACAAAATCTGAGAAAACTGAGAAAATGTCCTGCTTTTCTTCTTCTAGATGTCATTGTTTTCTTTCTATTTTCCTTTTATAAACTGCTTATTAATTTGTGTTTTATAATTTGTCTAACTTAATTTAAAAAAGAAAGAAAAAGAGACGTCGTGGGAGCATTCCGTTCTGTTTGTCAGATCAACATTTACGACCTGAAGACGCATTTAGACGATTAGAGTCGCGTCTCTCGTGGAAATTTCTGGCAAGTTGTGAAGACGCTGCTTCTGAATCCACGACTTTATCACATGCCCAGAGTCGGGAACTACACAGGGAGTTTCACTGCGTGTTTCCAAACGTTTTCCAGTAAACGTGAGCAGAGCCTATATTTGACTGGCCACAGTAACTTCTTGTATCACAACAAAAGTTTATATTTGAACAGCTTTCATTTTAGCAAACTGAACTAAACATTATCGCCCTGTAGAATGTTGTGATGTCGTCTGAAACAAGAACATCTGACCCCAAAAAATCCCACTCCGTCTGTTGTGTGTTGAACGATGCGTCGTTAGAGTGTTTACCGTGACAGACCGATCTGAGGGAAATGTCAAGATCTTTAGATCTTTTTGCAAACGTGCTGCATTATTCTGTTTTTTACATAAAGCCGGACGTACACTGTGCCATGTTTTGGATGGTTTGACTCAGCCGCAGCTCAAACCGTTCGACCAAATCTCAGGGTTTAAATGTTCACAGCTCATGATTCATGTTCTCAAACTGAACGACTTGAACAGAGAGAAACCATCACGAGGCGACTGGACTCAAACAGGTTTGATTCCTGCGATGTACGGTTGTTGATCAGGAGCTGGTTGTGAGGGATTAATCGGTTCTCATTACCTCACGTTACTACACGAAGCATGAAAACAGTAGAGGTGTAACGATATCAAGTGTCACGATACGATATCGTCACAGTCTGAACCTCACAGTACGATATTTATTGAGATATGGTGGTAAAGCTCATGATAAGATGTGGAGGCTCATGTTATGATATTTCTACATAATAACAAGAGTGAGATTATAAAATACTTTGAGCATCATTTGGTAAAACATTTATTATCATTTTCAGATCAGTGACTTTTTGAACAACTTGAAAATCTTTTGAAGCTGAAGTGCAAAATTCAAGTAACAAATAAACTGTTTTAGTTTGACTTTGATAAACTACAAAGCTGCTCCTCTTGATGTTGGAGCGTTACAGCGACTGCAGTCTGCGCCTCACTGAGTCGTGTCCTTTAGTCCGACAGAAGCATCAGCAGCATGAGGAGCGAGCTGATTTGATCAGACTTATGCAAATGAGTCATGTGGCTTTAAGTTTCATTTCTGTGAAACTTAAACAACTGTGCTCAATGCTGCATTAAACACATTATTACTCCATTTATATTTGATTATATTCCTGGTAGGAACTAAAAAAACTAATGTGACGGCATTTTATATTTCGGCTCCAGTTTATCCACTAACTTTTTAAGTGATGCAAATCACTGGCTTTATATTCTGTGATGTGTTTGTTTATTTCTTGAGCTGTTGTAAATGCTTCACGTAGAGTTTTTTGGCCTGACTGAAATTCTCGGCGTGTGGGTTTATCACGTGACTTCTCCTGTTGTAGTTTTTCTCGAGGTGAACCTCAGGCTGCGTTGTGTCTGTGTTTGTCCGTCACCTTTTCTCTTTTCTTGTTTCATGTCACAACAAAAACAAAATGTTTCTAGACCTCAGACTTAAAGTCTCTCGTGCGTCCACAGTGAGCGCACAGACCGATGACACGACCGCAAAGGATTATGGTCCATGTAGTTTAATGTGCATCACAGGAGCAACTGAAAATTCTTATTTTTGCCTAAAGACTCAGAGTTTAATACTGTAACGAGACCACAACAATATCGTGGCAATTTTACTACAACAATATCGTGATATCACCAATATCATTACACCCCTAATGGCACGAGTGAAAAATCGACTCAAAAAGGCCCAGAAAAGTGTCAGTGTACGTCCGGCTTCAACAAACACAGTCGGTCTGGTTCAGTGGATAAAAGGAGTTGAATATAAAACAATAAAAATAAAAATAAATGTCTCTTGAATGGCTTTTCTAAATGAACTGATCCCAAAGATACGACTCCCACTGAAGAATTGAAAGTCCCTGCACTAGTTCAGACCAAAACCTGGACTAGACCAGAACTAAACCAGGACTAGACCAGAACTAAACCAGGACTAGACCGAGGCTCAGACCAGTGTGAACACTGTGTACCTTAATCCTGCACAAAACCGCGCTTCACTCTGCAGTAACTTTCATTTTTTATGCTGATTTTTATATAAAATAGTCCTTGAGCGTCTCGTGCTGACGTCTGCGCCTGCGTCTGCGGCGGGGCATCTGGTTTAAAGAGACGGGCGCGTCCCAGCAGCACAAAAACAGTGGTACGATACATTCAAAAAACAACCAAAACCAAACCAGATGCCGACCAATCAGCAGGCTCCACAGAACAAACCCCGCCCCCTGGGGAAACCTGCGCCCGCGTCGTCCAATCAGCAGGCTCCACAGGACAAACCCCGCCCCAGATCTGGGACGCGATTGGACGGATTCAAACTCGTGCGTCCCGATTGGTCCAAAACAAAAAGACAAAGTGGTTTTCTTATTGGCTGAAGAAGTGCAGACGAAGGCTCCTGATTGGTCACACTAGTTCAGAGCTGCGTCCTCATTGGTTAAACCAGAGGAGGCGAGTCATCCTGATTGGTTAAACAGTTGAGTAAAAAAAAAAAAAAAAAACTTCCTGATTGGTTGAAACAGGAACCCAAGAGTCGTTCTGATTGGCTGAACACGGGCTGGTTTATCCTCATTGGCTAAGTGGTTGCAGGCTCCTGATTGGTTCAACAGGTCCAAAGCTGTGTCCTGATTGGTTAAAGGGCTGGAGATGCAGGGTCCTGATTGGTTAAACAGGAGGAGCGGGGGCGGGTCTTAGAGGCACCAGAGGCTGAGCTGCAGCGGTCGGTTTGGGCTTCCTGAAAAACAAGAGCCACAGTTAGAGACTCGTTAAAGGAGAAGTGAGCTTTTTTATGAGATTTAAACAGATGTCGGTCATGACATTTTGTTCATTATAAATCAGAATATTGATCTGGGCTGCTTTTTCGATTAATCGGCTGTACAGTCTGTGGTGTCATGTGCAGTGTTGGGGAGTAACAGATTACATGTACTGGAGTAATCAGAGTACAAATTATGAGTAACTGTATTCAGTTACAGTTACTGTTTCAGTGAGTGGTAATTAGATTACAGTTACTTTGTAGGACTAAACCAGGACTAAAAGCAGGTCTAAACTAGATCTAAACCAGTACTAAACCAGTCTAAAACCAGGTCTAAACCAGGACTAAACCAGTCTAAACCAGGACAAAACCAGGACTAAACCAGGACTAAACCAGTCTAAAACCAGGTCTAAACCAGGACTAAACCAGTCTAAAACCAGGACTAAACCAGGACTAAACCAGTCTAAAACCAGGTCTAAAACCAGGACTACACCAGGACTACACCAGGACAAACCAGGACTAAAACAGGACTACACCAGGACTAAACCAGGACTAAAACAGGTCTAAATCCTGCTGTGTGGACGTGTTTCTTCTTCTTCTATCAATAATATTTTTAATTTGGTTCAGTAAAGTTTGGGCTTTTTATTTTCTTTTATCAGACAAAACATCTGATGTGAAGATTTCCTCGTCTTTGTTTCTCTACAGTAAATCAAGTAATCCAAAGTATTCAGATTACATTACTCACTTTAAGTAATTTAATGGATTATGTTACAAACTACATTTTGGTGTGTGTAATCTGTAATCTGTAGGGGATTACATTTTAAAAGTAAACTTCCCAACACTGGTCGTGTGTCGCTTTTCCCTCGTTTCATTTTCTGTTCATCCACAACATCTGAAAACTCTGGGTGATGTTCTTCTGTGTGTTTCTGCTGAGTTTTGTGTAGAAATAGTTCAATGTTCAGAGTCTGTACCTGTTTTATCTGACACATTATTTAACAGAGGTGTGCAAAAATATAGAAATATATCGTAATACTAAACTTTTTCACCTTATTACATTTATACTTTATTAGTTTAGTTTGTACGACCATAAACAGGGGGAAAAATATACATATATATAAAAAAATAATAATAATAATAATAAGAAGAAGAAGAACGAGGAAGAAAGAAATTTCTAGTAGAGATTTTGGTTTGTAAAATATTCGGCGCAATGACTTTAAACAGTCCAACACTGTAGAAACTGTTATATAAGGAGCTCTGCAGTTGATCAATTGTGCTCTGAGTTTTGTTTGTTTAATTTATATTTTGTCTTTTATATGTGCAGATAGTGGATTTGTGAATGTAAAATTCTTGTTCATGTATTCGTGCCAAACTGTTTGAGTACGGGGGGATGTTTGGTTTGGTCTGTGCACGAGTGAGTTCTCTCAGTTTCTGTGTGTTTACATTTGTCCACTACACGTGCAGCTCCACTGAGGCTCGGCGCTTTAATATTCACCAGGAACTCGTCTGTGGTTTTATTATATTTAGAGTTTTATTATATTTAGAGTTTTATTATATTTAGAGTTTTATTATATTTAGAGTTTTATTATATTTAGAGTTGCAGCGCACTTCACAACAACTGCCCCCCGACTTGACTATGTCCCTCCAAACTATGTGAATCCTCATAAAACTCCACTCGTCACGCCGCTGTCCCTCACGCCGCTGTCCTCACGCCGCTGTCCTCACGCCGCTGCCCTCACGCCGCTGCCCTCACGCCGCTGCACGCCGACGCCGCTGCCACGCCCGCTCACGCGCCGCTGTCCTCCTCACGCCGCTGTCCTCACGCCGCTGTGCCTCACGCCGCTGTCCTCACGCCGCTGTCCTCACGCCGCTGTCCTCACGCCGCTGTCCTCACGCCGCTGTCCTCACGCCGCTGTCCTCACGCCGCTGTCCTCACGCCGTTGTCCTCACTATCGCCTCCCTCCGCTCACACTCCCCTGGAAGTGAATTTTCAGCCGCTGGAGACGTTTCACCTGCAGCTGATCTGCTCTTACTACAGACACTGTGGACAAGTTGTTTTTTTCTGGTCAAAAATTTGAAGCTTGAGTAAAAGTTGACGCTGGAACTGCTCGTGCTGAACTTTACTTTTTGAAAAGTTTTGTTTACTGTTTACAAGGATTTAATTTTTTATAATATTTCAAACATTTGTTGCTTATTTGAGAATATTTTATTTAACTTATTAGTTTTACCAAGCAGCACTTTGTATTTATTTTGTTTCCCTGTTTGTAAAATGTTTAATAAAAATGGTTTTGCATTTTGTTCCCAAACTGAACCGAAAATGAACTGAACCTTGACCTCAAAACCGAAGTACTGAACCGTGATGTTTGTACCGTTGCACCTCTACGTGATGCTAAATTTGGAGATACAGTTTTGATATTGTGAGCTGCTGAATCGATGTCGATGAGAGTATTTTTTTTTAAATATCTTTAAGCAGTTTTGTTGTGACGCTGACAAATGATTCCTGACATTGAACAGTTTAATCATAAAAACGGGTCTGGTCTTCATAAACACACACGAGACGTTTCACTGGAACAAGACGTAGATTTTCTTTTAATTGTTGAGAACGTCTCTGTGTCAGTCTTTACCCTACACGTGTTTTACCCATGTTTTCTTGGACATGGAGCAGGTTTATGTTTGTAAAAGTGTGTGTGAGTCTTACAGCGGAGGAGGAGGAGGTCTGGAGTAGGACGGAGCACTTCTGTTCGTCTCCACCACCTTCGGAGAGAAAATAAAACATAAATATATGTGTGGTTCATTTAAACACAGAGATGTACGACAGGTGAGGTGACAGGTGAGGTGACAGGTGAGGTGACAGGTGAGGTGTACCTGCGGGTGTGGAGGCAGCAGCTGAGTCTGGTGCTGAGGGGAAAACACAAACATTTAAACACTTTAAGAAGAACCACAGAATCAGAGAATCATCAGGAGGAAGAGGAGGAGGACACAGATCTGACACTACAGAATCACATTCAACACATTTCAGGTTCTAACTCATCAACAGGAACAGGAAATGATCTGGTTTTATTCAATCATCATCGGAATTTCGCTTCTACCATTGAGTTTTACTGAAAATAAGAAAATTAAAATGTAAAGAAAATATTTGGAGAAATGATTTGAGGTCGAGTCGTGTCCTGACGTGAGTCAGACACAGAGGAGCCCAAAACCTCTGGGACAAAATAAACACAGGAGCGAGTCGAGGGCCAAAGATAAAAACAATTTGCTTTTTAAAAATGTTCTGTAATGAAATGTGTGATTAAACTGACTTTAAACTTTAAATATTAGAACATTGGTCATTATAATTTTAGAATGTGACGCTGTCAAACTGTCAGACGAGGCAAGAGACAGTTTCTCCTGTTAATTACTGTACTGGACTTTGCCATGAAATATCAGAAAGGTAAATTTCAAAATATGGAACCTGATCATTTCTGTTACTGACTCGACCTACAACTACAACTACAAAAAAATCTGCAGCTGAACAATAGTTTTTGCTGCTCCACATCCGTATGAAACAATATTGGCCAACAGAACGTTGTGATGTGAAACCAGCCACAGACACGACTCGACTCGACTGGACTGACCGTCTCCTGATAGAATCAAAACAGATTCTTTTTCAAATCTCAGGGCCCATTACGGCACAAATTATTAAATTAATTATCAGCACAGATCTAAACTAAAGCCGGACCAGAGCTCAGAGGAGCAACAGAGGAAAAGTGTCCAGATCACAGAGCTCTTTTCTTCTGCTCCTCTGACCCTCCTGTCCCTCACCTGCTCCACGGCGCCCCCCTCTGGCTCCTGTCAGTCCAACAGGAAACAGCAGCACGTTTTATAATAATAATAATGTCAAACACTTTAAAGATCTACACCTGAGTCCAAACTGTTTTCACTGACGGCCACAGACTGAAATATGTTCAAAACTCGAGGCCACAGACTGAGGCTGATACAGTTGATCACGTTTACATGATGTTTTTTTTTATTTCAAATGAATTATTAAGCTATAAGCTATAAGCTATAAGTTCTCATGTGAATGTGGCAAATGAAATGTTCTGTTACTGTAGTAAAAGTAGAATTACTTCACATTTGTAGTAAATGTGCCGACACAAACTCATCTGAGCACCACATTTGGCCCCCGGGCCACACTTTTGACACCTCTGCTACATGTGACTTTATTCATTCACTTCAGTATGTTGTAGCCACAGCCGCCCTGGGGCAGACTGAGGACGTAACATAACTGAAATATCGTGGTACGTGTCACTAAAACTCTCAATAATCAGAGGTGGGACCTGCGAGTCGTGACTTGGTCTCGAGTCAGACTTGAGTCACTATTTCTAGGACTTGAGACTTGACTTAGACCAAGACTTGGAACTCGAATTGGACTTGAGCCCTGTGACTCGAGAAGACTTTCTGTTCTGACCGTAATGATTCGTTTAAAAAGGAAAAATTAACATTTGTACAACTCTTAAATAAATCCTCATATAGAAATACACCGTGACTCTTAGTTTGAGTTTTTAGTTTAAAATTCATATAAATTGCAAAAATCAAAGCTATATTTGTTACTTTGGTTTAAAGACTTGAAATGACTTGAATCTAAAGCAAATGACTTGGACTTGACTTGGACTTATGGACCAGTGACTCGACTTGGACTTGAGGTTAAAGACTTGAGACTTGCAAAACTACAACCTGGTCCCACGTCTGATAATAACACTAAATATCTTCGTTTGCGTTCATTGTGCCTCACCTCGTTCCGGACGATGTTGTTGTTTCCGCGGGCGACGGCAGGAGGCGGGGCTCTGGGGGGAGCTCCTCTCTGATTGGCTGCGGCTCCGTCGGCTCTACATGGAAACAGTGAACAGATCAAAGTGACCGTGAGCAGCTCCTCGTCCTCCGTGAGCACAGGACGTTTGTCTTGTTGTCGTCTCCGTGTCACTCACGTGTATCCCTGCGACCTCTTCCTCCGCCCGAGCCCCACCCGCCTCAGCAGCTCCTTCCTGCGCACGAAAACAAACGCCCCCAGAGCCACGAGCGGCAAAACCAAGAAGAAGAAAACCAGCAGCCCGTCCCTCAGCGACGTGTCCTTATCTGAAACAAACACACACACTCATCCTCTCATCCTCTGCTCCTCTCTCCTCTGTTCTTCCCTCTGCAGTTCCTCACCGTTCCACGTGGGGCCGCTGTCGACGCTGCCTCCGTAACCTTTGAACTCACAGAAGGGCGGAGCCCACCCAGACTCACAGTGACAGTTTTTATTACTGTTACAAACCTGAAAGGACAAGACACCAGGGTAAACTGCCGTACTAGAAGTAATAGTAGTATTTCTTGTCGTAGTAGTACTAGTAGTAGTAGTAGTAGTAGTAGTAGTAGTAGTAGTAGTAGTAGTAGTAGTAGTACTAGTAGTAGTAGTAGTAGTAGCTAGTAGTAGTAGTAGTAGCTAGTAGTAGTAGTAGTAGTAGTAGTAGTAGTAGTAGTAGTAGTACTAGTAGTAGTAGTACTAGTAGTAGTAGTAGTAGTAGTAGTAGTAGTAGTAGTTAGTAGTAGTAGTACTCAGACTGACCCCGTGTCCGTTACATTTGTTCTGAGGGTCACAGTCGTAGTTCAGGACGTCCGCGTTGCGGCACTCGAAGTTCATGCAAACCTGAAGAACAAACACAAATATTTAAAGACACTTTCACTTTGGTAGTTCCATTATTTGGTCGGCACCAGGAAGTAAAATAGTTTTGTATCACAGACTCCAGTGTGATTCTTTCACACCTACAAAGAAAACCCCTGATCCCACTGACGTTTCTCCAAGACTCCTGCACACAGCAGGTTCCACTGCACCTGGCACAGGAACACTGACTCTCTCCTGTACGTCACACGTCTTGGAAGTGAGGCTGAGATGTTCCATCTCGCCCAGTGGCCTCCCCACGAGCCCCTCTGTGAGGTACAGACGGAGCGGGTCAGTCCCAATCCCTCCTCCAGGCGTCCAGACCCGACCCCGGGCCCCGTCACATCCTTTAACCAGGGTGCAGGGCCGCAGCGCCGGGGCCCATCCTCTGTGCTCAGGTCGACCCGCTGGGTTCTGCCAGTCATCTCAAAGACTGAGCCATGCAAGTCGAACCAACACAACTAAGAGCTTCTGGTTCCAATGGAACGTTTACTAATCCTGGTCTAGTCTTGGTCCGGTCTCTGGTCTAGTCCCGGTCTCTGGTCTCGTCCCGGTCTCGTCCCGGTCTCACCTTGTTGTCCCCACACCTGGTCCCCTCCTGGACCATCCCTGGATCTGGGACGTCTGATCCGAGTCTGAAGTCGACTCCGAAACACTTGGTTCCTCCGATGGGCGTGGAGATGATCGACGGCTCGATCCCGAACACGGTGGTGGACTGAACGTTTGAGCACTGCAGCTTCCCACAGAGAGCGTGTCTGTGAACGCACCACAGGAGAATAATACACTTTACTACAGTCTGTGAACGCACCACAGGAGAATAATACACTTTACTACAGTCTGTGAACGCACCACAGGAGAATATACACTTTACTACAGTCTGTGAACGCACCACAGGAGAATAATACACTTTACTACAGTCTGTGAACGCACCACAGGAGAATAATACACTTTACTACAGTCTGTGAACGCACCACAGGAGAATATAACACTTTACACAGTCTGTGACGCACAGGAGAAATACACTTTACTACAGTCTGTGAACGCACCACAGGAGAACAATACACTTTACTACAGTCTGTGAACGCACCACAGGAGAATAATACACTTTACTACAGTCTGTGAACGCACCACAGGAGAATAATACACTTTACTACAGTCTGTGAACGCACCACAGGAGAATAATACACTTTACTACAGTCTGTGAACGCACCACAGGAGAATATTACACTTTACTACAGTCTGTGAACGCACCACAGGAGAATAATACACTTTACTACAGTCTGTGAACGCACCACAGGAGAATAATACACTTTACTACAGTCTGTGAACGCACCACAGGAGAATAATACACTTTACTACAGTCTGTGAACGCACCACAGGAGAATAATACACTTTACTACAGTCTGTGAACGCACCACAGGAGAATAATACACTTTACTACAGTCTGTGAACGCACTGTGAACGCACCACAGGAGAATAATACACTTTACTACAGTCTGTGAACGCACCACAGGAGAATAATTACACTTTACTACAGTCTGTGAACGCACCACAGGAGAATAATACACTTTACTACAGTCTGTGAACGCACCACAGGAGAATAATACACTTTACTACAGTCTGTGAACGCACCACAGGAGAAAATACACTTTACTATGTGAACGCACCACAGGAACATACCTTACTAGTCTGTGAACGCAACAGGATACACTTTACTACAGTCTGTGAACGCACCACAGGAGAATAATACACTTTACTACAGTCTGTGAACGCACCACAGGAGAATAATACACTTTACTACAGTCTGTGAACGCACCACAGGAGAATAATACACTTTACTACAGTCTGTGAACGCACCACAGGAGAATAATACACTTTACTACAGTCTGTGAACGCACCACAGGAGAATAATACACTTTACTACAGTCTGTGAACGCACCACAGGAGAACAATACACTTTACTACAGTCTGTGAACGCACCACAGGAGAACAATACACTTTACTACAGTCTGTGAACGCACCACAGGAGAACAATACACTTTTACTACAGTCTGTGAACGCCCACAGGAGAACAATACACTTTACTACAGTCTGTGAACGCACCACAGGAGAATAATACACTTTACTACAGTCTGTGAACGCACCACAGGAGAACAATACACTTTACTACAGTCTGTGAACGCACCACAGGAGAACAATACACTTTACTACAGTCTGTGAACGCACCACACACTTTAAATCAGCCTGAGAGAGCTTTTTCACAAAGTCTGGAAGTGTCCTGCTTTTCTGTATGTCTAGAGTAATAGTAGCAGTAGTAGTAGTAGTAGCAGTAGTAGTAGTAGTAGTAGTAGTAGTAGTAGTAGTAGTAGTAGTAGTAAGTAGTAGTACCTGCTCTCACACTTCTTGTAGCCGTAGTTGTAGTAGCCACAGTTTCCGAAGCGATCGCCTTTACTGTTCACGTCTTTGAAGCAAATCTCAGGAGCAGCTCTGGCCTCTGCACACAAACACAACCAGGACTGAACCAGGACTGAACCAGGACTGACCCAGGACTAAAACAGGTCTAGACCAGGACTAAATGAATGTCGTGTGAGTGTAGAGTGGTGCGTTGAGGGACTCACTGGGGCCGAAGATTCCCTGACACTGTCCGTCGTAGGTCTGGCACTTCCCGTTGTAGCAGAAGGCCTCGGAGCTGCTGCAGGTCTGACCGTTCTGAGGGACACACAGAAGGTTCAGGACCAGAGACTCGGAGGGGGGGTCAGGAGCGAGTGTGACGTCACCGACAAGACCAGTCAAATGCAGCTAATCGAGGTGGGCAGTTGCAGTTATAGCGACTTATCTGCAGGTCCATGTTTGGAACCAGTGTAAATCTGTGTCCTGGATTTTTAAAATAAGACCTTGATGAGCGCCGGACGGACTAGTGGCCGCTCCAGGTACTGCAGCTCCAGAAGCTCCAGCCCAGAAACGACGAGCTGGCTCTGTTCACGCCAGAACTAAACCAGAACTAAACCAGGACTAAACAGGACTAAAACAGGATAAACCAGGACTAAAACAGGATAAAACAGGACTAAAACAGACTTAAAAATACTTAAACAAGACTAAACCAGGTTGAAAACCAGGACTAAAACAAGGACTAAAGGTTAAAAACAGGAATAAACTAAAAAGGACTAAAAAGGACAGGACAAACAGGACTAAAACAAAGGCTAAACCAGGACTAAAATACAAACCAGGACTAAAACCAGGACTAAACCAGGACTAAAACAACAGGAAACTAAACCAGACTAAAACAGGACTAAACAGGAAAAAACCAGGACTAAAAAAAACAAGACTAAACAGGACTAAAACAGGACTAAACAGACTAAACAGACTAAACCAGAACTAAACAGGTCAGGACTAAACAGAACTAAACCAGGACTAAACAGGACTAAACAGGATAAACCAGACTAAAACATTAAACCAGGACTAAAACAGGATAAACAGGACTAAAACAGAAATTAAAACTTAAACAAGACTAAACCAGGAAAACTGAATCAAGACTAAAACAGGCTAAAACCAGGACTAAACCAGGACTAAACAGGACTAAATCAGGTCTAAACCAGGACTAAAACAAACTAAACTAGGACTAAATAAACCAGGACTAAACAGACTAAAACAAGACTAAACAAGGACTAAACAGGACTAAACAGGACTAAACAGACTAAATCAGGTTAAACCAGGACTAAACCAGGACTAAATCAGGACAAGGACTAAATCAGGTCTAAAACCAGGACTAAACAGGACTAAAACAGACTAAAACAGGACTAAAACAAGACTAAACCAGACTAAAACGGGACTAAAACAGGACTAAACCAGGAATAAAACAAGACTAAATCAGGACTAAACAGGACTAAACCAGGACTAAAACAAGACTAAACCAGAACTAAGTCAGGTCTAATCCAGGACTGAATCAGGACTAAAACAAGACTAAACCAGGACTAAATCAAGACTAAATCAGGACTAAAACAGAACTAAACCAGGACTAAACCAGAACTAAACCAGGACCAAACCCGGATTAAACCAGGACTAAACCAGGACTAAACCAGGACTAAACCAGGACTAAACCAGGACTAAAACAAGACTAAAACAGGGCTAAAACAGGACTAAAACAAGACTAAACCAGGACTAAAACAAGACTAAACTAGGACTAAATCAGGACTAAACCAGGACTAAACAGAACTAAACCAGGATTAAACCAGAACTAAACCAGGACGAAACCGGATTAAACCAGGACTAAACCAGGACTAAATCAGGTCTAAACAGGACTAAACCAGGACTAAAACAACTAAACAGGACTAAAAACAGGACTAAACAAGACTAAACCAGACTAAAAGACTAAACAGGACTAAAACAGGACTAAAACAGGTAAACAGGACTAAAGACTAAACCAGGACTAAATCAGGTCTAAACAGGACTAAACAGGACTAAAAAACTAAACCAGGACTAAACAGGTCTAAACCAGGACTAAAACAGGATTAAACCAGGACTAAAACAGGTTTAAACCAGGACTAAAACAGAAATTAAAAATGACTTAAACAAGACTAAACCAGGTTGAAACCAGGACTAAAACAAGACTAAAACAGGTCTAAACCAGGACTAAACCAGGACTAAATCAGGACTAAACCAGCACTGAATCAAGACTAAACCAGGACTAAAACAAGACTAAACCAGGACTAAATCAGGACTAAAACAGAACTAAACCAGGACTAAACCAGAACTAAACCAGGACCAAACCCGGATTAAACCAGGACTAAACCAGGACTAAATCAGGACTAAAAACTATCTTGAAAACAGGACTGGGTGACTTTTTTTTTGACGTGAAGGTGGAAGTTGAGGCGAGAGTCAAAAATGACGCTGAGTTTCTGGCGCGGGGGGGGGACGTTTCAGCGGGAGGTCGTTCCGCGTGTCGGCGGCGGCGAGCGGCGGAAGGACACGTTACGACGGGCTGTGACGCGTCCTGAGGGGAGCGTATGAATAGAAAATAAAATATGACCTAAAATAGAACTGTACCTGCACGAAGACGTCGCTCTGGCACAGGGGGGACGAGCCGTTGCAGTATTCTGGGAGGTCACACTCGTCCAAACTCGCACGACAAACTGTTCCTCCAGGAAGAAACTGAGGACAAACATTCAGTCAGATTCAATTCGCCGTGTGTCAGATGCCCTCCCAGTGTGTGTGTCAGATGCCCTCCCCGTACCTGACAGTTGCGGCAGCACTCTCCGTAGGCGCACTCGGCTCCAGACTTCAGTCGACACGTCCCAAACTCACAGCACGAGTCCGACTCACACTCCTGAAAAAGAGACGCATCAGGAATCTAACCCACGACCTCAGGAACAACGTTGGGAACCCACGAACTCAGAAGCCTACTACCTCAGGAACCCACAACCCCAGGAACTCAGAACCTCGGGAACTCACAACATCAGAAATCAACAACCTCAGGAACCAACAACCTGAGAAACTCACAACCTCAGGAGACCACAACCTCTAAAACTCGCAATCTCAAGAAGTTACAACCTCAGGAACCTCCAACCCCAGGAACCCACAACCTCAAGAACCAACCTCAAACCCACAACCTCAAGAACCCACAACCTCAAGAACCCACAACCTCAGGAACTCACAACTTCAGGAACAACCTCAGGAACCCACAACCTCAGGAACTCACAACCTCAGGAACTGGAACTCTCAGGAACCCACAACCTCAGGGACTCACAACCTCAGGAGCCCACAACATCAGGAACCTACAACATCAGGAACCTACAACATCAGGAACTAACAACCTCAGGAACTAACAACCTCAGGTACTCACAACCTCAGAAGCCCACAACCTCAGGAGCCCACAACATCAGGAACTCACAACCTCAGGAACCCACAACCTCAAGAGCCCACAACCTTAGGAACCAACAACCTCACAACCTCAGGAACAACCTCAGGAACTCACGACCTCATAGACTTTAAATGTAAACCTGATGCCTCGACACCGTGGTCTGAATGCAGCTTAAACCAGGACTAAACCAGGACTAAACCAGGAATAAACCAGGACTAAATCAGGACTAGACTCCATTGACCCCTAGTATGTTTTTTGTTTGTTCCCGTGTCACCATAGCGACCTGACTGACCTTCTGAGAGCCGCAGTCGCACTCCTCGCCGTGGTCCACGAGGCCGTTGCCGCAGAAGGGGGCGCTGTAGGCGTCGTCCGGGCGCGGCACGTTCAGGAGGCAGGAGCCGCCCACAGACAGGATCATCTTCTCAAAGTCGTCTGCGCTACAACTGCTGAAGTCACGAGAGCCACTGCAACAGACGGGCACAAGGGGGCGCAGTGAGACAGACGGGCACAAGGGGGCGCAGTGAGACGGACGGGACAGGCACACAAGGGGGCGCAGTGAGACAGACGGGCACAAGGGGGCGCAGTGAGACAGACGGGCACAAGGGGGCGCAGTGAGACAGACGGGCACAAGGGGGCGCAGTGAGACGGACGGGCACAAGGGGGCGCAGTGAGACAGACGTGTACTGCAGCAGACCAGATTGTATAAAGAAGTGGACTAAAGGCTGAATTATAGTTCTGCGGTGACTCGTCGCACTCTGCCGCCGTCGCCTTGTCGCCGTAGTTTCTGATTTACGGATCTTCCTCGAGGTCTGTGCGCCGCAAAGTAATTCACCGCCACAACACTAGGAGGCGACGATCCTGTCAGTGCATTTATTGCATCTCTTTTAAACAAAAGACGCAGATGTTCGGAAATAATCAGAACAGATTCAAGAGAACTTGAGAGAACACTGGAGTTGAGTGAAAGAGATACTAAAATTCCAAGACTTTTCCGAAACTTTCATTGAATTTACAAAATTCCATGCCTGACATTCAAAATGACATTTTCAATTTCCAAGACGTTTCCAGGATATTCATGACCGTGAGAACCCTGACCCTTATTGTCGGCGTCGATTCGATGAGTAGTTACAAAATTTCGGACGATTTGACGCACAACCATAAATTGGGCTTAAGGGAGCGTGACACCAACCACAGCGTTCAGCTCCAGTCAAATGAAGCTCATCAAGGCTGCAGTTACAGAGATGGATTTGGAGATTATTTCCATATTAGGAACTGGAATTTATTTACAGACAAAATAGCAAAAATAAAAACTCCAGTATCACGTAGAGTGGGTTTATGTGAACATTTAAAGACCAAAATGTTGAGCAGCAGGTACAGAGAGTTTG